CCCAAGACAACATTGCTGGAGGCCAAGCAAAAATGGTCTTCAATATGCTTGGAGAGGCATACTTCAAGGCAACAAGTTGTTAAAACAAAGGGTCAAATGGAGCATTGGCAAATCTCAAGTTGTCTTGAAGGATCAGTGGCTGCCTCTAATTTCATCTACTTCGCCAAATTCTATCGGTCCCTCTATCAATCCAGAACTCAAGGTGAAAGATCACTTTATTCATGGTACAACTGTTTGGGACAATTTGAAGCTAAATTCCTTAATCCAGCCTATTGATTCATACAAGATTACATGGGTTCATACAACTCATGGAGGTTATACGGTCAAATCTAGATACAACTTGTTAAGGGCAAAGCAAGGTCAATCTTCTTCTATACCTCTTAATATGTTTAAATCCTTCTAGAAATATCATTTGCCTCCTAAGATACAACATTTCTGGTGGAAGGCTCTCCATGATGCATCAAAATTAAAACAAAAGAGGATTGTCAAGGAAAGTGTTTGTTCTGTTTGTGGAGGGTTGGAAGAAACGGTGAATCATATGCTTTTCCAATGTTCTGTTAGTAAAGAAATTTGAGAGTTAGCCCCTCTGCTTGAACCTTCTAGTGATTCCTTGATTTTGGCAGAAAACTATGCAGATTTTATAGTGGCAAATCAAGGATCATTGATCAGACTTTGCTATTACATTTCTTGGGCTGGAGAATTTGGAAGCATAGAAATGAGGTGATTTTCAATAATAAAAGATGGCTATTCCAACTATCATTGATAAAGCTTTGAAGGATTATCAATTATGGGTGGAGGTTTCGGATCAAAACAACCAGGAGATGTCTCGGGGTCAATTATCTCATCCACTAAGACAACAATCTCAAGTTATTCCTAAGAGCTTAACACAAATTTTTGAGCAGATTACACATCCTTGTTGTCTGGTGGATGCATCTTGGATATCTCAACATCATAACATAGGTATTGCTTGGAGCTTGTATGACAGTTCCCTCACACAGATGCTTTATGGGTCGGGATCTTTTCCTCCTAATCTTCCGCACAAGCAAAAGTTCAAACTTTGCGCGTAGCCGTTGTAGAATTGCATAGGCTTGGCTATCGTAATGTTACATTCTGTGGGGATTTGCAAAAGGTGTATGGGATGCTGCAAAATCCAAGGATGGACTTGGAAGATTCTCATGTTAGGCATCTCCCTTACATAGTTCAATTGTATGATATTGTTAAGATAGCAAAGTTATGTAATTTCACATTTCTTCACATTTCACGTGAAGTTAATGATCATGTTGATCATTTAGCTAAAGAATCTCGGCTATGTGCATACAGCTTTATTGTAAAATGGCCAATATAATTGTTTGAATGTGTAATGAAATATTTGGACGACAAAAAAGAAAAAAACTGGGGAAAAGAGTATAGATAAGGCGAGTAATATTTCATTAATTTTAAAAGGAAAGATAACAAACACGCAATATTACAAGGGGG